TTGTCATCACAATGGTGTCGACATCAATGTCTACTCTTCTTTTTATTATATATATACGCACACACAAGGGAATGCTAAAACATTCTCAACCTAACCAAGTACCACAAAAGTGGTCCTTCAATCATATTTTGAGAAGTGGGTCAGGAACAAATTTAGAGCCAGAAAAAAAAAATATAAAATTTTTTTTTTTATTAAAATGTATTCATTGACATAGTTTCTATCATCGTCATTAACCATCTTACAATGATTTACAAATTTCATAATTTTAGTTTGGCTAAAAATAATATGGAGAAAATAGTTTTCATCTCTTCAATTGTCTTAAGAATTCCTCCATCATAAAAGTATTTTAACTCTAAAATGGAAGAGAATCTGGCAAATAGTGAAGAAATCTTTTTCCCAGCTATCTTCAATTTTTTAATATATAATATTTCTCATTTATTATGATGACAGAACACCACATCTTTGCAACTGGCCAAGCCTTTTATTCCTTCAATGTTTAAACATTCTAACTGATAAAACTAGATGTCTATTGTAATTGCACTATTGAGTAGTAGGAACTCAAAAGGGATCATGCCAATTCTACCAAATATTTAATTCTTTAAGTGCTCAAATGCACAAGCAAGTTTCATACACTTACAGTCCAGAAGCACCTGAATGTCCCCTCACAGCACAATCTCTTAAGTGAAGTTACCTTTTCTAAATAATTCAAATCATTGGCCATCCTGTGTATGACAATAAATTACATCTACATCCTGGGTAAGACAATTAACTACATCCAACATCAAGGTCTCTGATCAGGAGGTTTTGAGGAGCGTGGAATCACCTCTTAATTGCTGGTATTCCCAGGGTGGTAGCACCTCTTAGGGTCCCAGCTATGGGTAAATAGTTAACCCCCAAACTGGAATGAAAACACTATGAAAGTGTAAAAATAGGTTTTAATACCAGAAATACTTTGTAAAAAATTATTACCAGCAATACATTTTTGAAGAAAAAAAAATATTACCAGCAATTTTTTAAAAGAAATTATCACCAGCAAAAATAAAAAATTGTCTGCATTAAACAACCCATTGGGGTTGATATGCCATAAACCAAACCCAATGATTTTTGGTAATTTTTCATTTAAAACAGTTTTTTCCCCCAAGAACTGTTATATTGTAGAACAGACTCCCACATGGATGCTTCCTTGATCATTACAATCTTAATCTCAAATTAATGGTCAACCATCATTTATCCTCCCTATCTTAATCTCTTACTTGTACCTCATTTTACATTGATATCACACATCTTTGTCAATAACCTTCCTTGAGTGGCTCTTGATTCTTGTATTAGGTGAAGTTTAGTATAAAAAAAAAAAAAATAATCAAAATCATAAACACCATCTTTCAGATTACTTCTGCAGTTTTATTGTCTTTTTCAAACTTCATAGAGAATTACGTTTGCGATCCATTTTTTAGATATATCATTGATTGAATTACTTAAAGCCATACAATTGTGTATAAATTATTAGGATTAGATAGGAATAATTAAAACCGTGTAACTGTGTAAATTGTTTGATTTATGAATAGTCATTTTTTCCCAAGCTTCAAGTAACTATGACATTAAATAACTCAACAAGGATTGGCATGTTATAAGACTGACCAAACATCCATTTTTAGGAGGGTCAAGATAATAACAGTTGAATCATAATTTGAGGATATAACTCATTTAAAACTGTACAAACACCTACATGCATTGTTATTTAGGCATAATTGTGAAAATACTATTCAATCTATTACTGTCAACTTTTGGACATTATTTCTGAGATGACCTGGGATATGTATACTGACATACAAGAATGTCAACTGATAGGTGCCCTGTATTATGTAGGACTCCCTTTAAGCTGGTGAAGTGCAGCAACTCCATGTGATATCAATACTACAAATCGTCAGATGAACCCTGGCGAGATGTTGAGTCATGCTGTTTCAATAGTTGTCCACTATGGCTCCCTTATATTTAATATACCTGATATATATATATATATCTTTGATTTCACTAGTCTAATTAAGAAATAACATAACCCTTTAAGGAGAAAATATCATGAAAATATATTTATAGCATTACTACTAACTATAAACACTTTCTGCTATTTGGTTTGTGTCATGCTAGACAATTTTTCTCACCAGATTCAATCTTACAAATTTTGTAAGTTTACCATTCAGTCATACATTACTAGTAGGCCAACCATTGCAATACTGGGCATTATCCTGGACATATTTTGCAGCAAATATTTATTCTTTTTTGCACAAAGCTACCCCAAAATGGTGAGAAAAACCATTTACTATAAAAGATCTGATACAAAGATTTAGATACCATACTTTTGTTGACATTCATGACTGATCAGGGAGGTTAGTCACTAAAAAAATTTTAACCCCTTCAGAAAAAAATTACCTGTGTATATATTACCTGTGTCACCAAAAATGCATGATTTTGATATTTCCCCAAAAAAATTACCTGCATATAATGCAACACCCCGTTTTTTTTTGTTTTTTTTTTTTTTCATAAAAAAACTGATCCCAAAATCTCACACTATATCTTTTTACAATGTTATTCAAGAATATTGCTTGACAGACTAGATATTGAGTATATTCTAAAATCTACTGGCATTGGTCAAGTTTGGGGAAGACTTTATCCTGTAGTTGATTCATACAAGAAAACATTTATAATTGCTTATACCTCCTAACGATTGGACATAACAATTATGAAAGGGTTTGATTACGAAATTCCAGACTTGAGGTGCTGAATATAACATCAATCAGCTAAGTAACATATTTTATTTGTATTAATCATATATATATATATATATATATATATATATATATATATAAAAGGAAGAGGTTATAGTAGTTCCAACGAGAGAAATGTGTGTATATTAAAAAGAGAGATACCACAAACGTTTTTAGTTGTAATGTGGATTTTTTTAAAAAAAATATTATGCTTTATTTTCCATAATTTTACTTTTTGTTTTTTTTATAAAATTATGGAAAATAAAGCATAATAATTTTTTTTTTAAAAATCCACATTACAACCAAAAACGTTTGCAGTATCTCTTTTCATTTTATATATATATATATATATATATATATATATATATATTTTACATACAAAGAAATAATCACACACAGAATCAATCAAAAGTATTAATGCGATTATTGGCGACATCCATCGCTAGAAGCATAATATATGCATTAAAATACTGTTAATCCATAGTGCAAGTTGATCCTCGTCGATAAACTTGATGTCTGTAGTTTTTAGTTTATTTGATGTTAAAATGCTAGTACTTACGAATCAAAAACTTGGAGACGATATACTTGTATGTCGACCGAAAGATGTTTTTTGAATATCTGCTATTATTGACGGTTGTGTAAGATCTCGGAACGTGCAAAGACGCAACGTTAAGTTTTTTTTGATTTTATAAGGAAAAAAACACATGCCTGATGATGAATAGAGGACTATTCGTAAGTACTAGCATTTTAACATCAAATAAACTAAAAACTACAGACATCAAGTTTATCGACGAGGATCAACTCGCACTATGGATGAACAGTATTTTAATGCATATATTATGCTTCTAGCGATGGATGTTGCCAATAATCGCATTATTTTTTGATTGATTCTATGTGATTATTTTTTGTATAATTATATGGTGCCTAATGTTTTATATATATATATATATATATATATATATATATATATATATATATTCCTGTTGTTATGCCCCAAGATCCTTGCTGTTGTACAATATGTGGACTTATATACAGGTCACTAATGGGACTGAAGTGTCACATAAGACAAAAAACATAAAAACTGAATGAAGTAGTTGGATCTTGATGTCAAAACTGACAGGAGAGCCCATCATTACACACACACACACACACACACATATATATATATATATATATATATATATATATATATATATATATATATATATGGCACCTCAAGGTGGTGTAATGGTTAGCAAGGTTGTCTTGCTAGAACAATTATGACTGAGTAGTGAGTTTGATACTCACTGGGTGCCTCATACTTTCAGCCTTGTGCCACATCTAAGCTATGCTTGATAAATCTCTCTCTCATATATATATATATATATATATATATATATATACACACACATATATAAAAGGAAAACTTTTCTTTACAATATATTTCATCTCCTGACAAACTTTATCAAGATAAATGTGGGAATTTTATTTTGTAATGTATTTATACACAGAAATAAAGTGGAGGAAAAATATTGTTTTTCCACATTTACCTTGATAAAGTCCTTATATATATCCTTACAGATTTTACATTCATACAGGTACACATAATGTAAAAAAAAATTAACTTTTTGTTCTTTTTAGATTTTCCTGTGACTGTCATAAGCAAGCACAATCTTCAGGTGATCAAAAGGAATAGAATATATTTTCTGAACTTATAAAAAAATTCTCTGTTCTAAAAAGATCATGTAAAGTTCATTTTATCTTATATATGTTTACTCTGTATTTCATATTTTTTACATTGAGTGCTCTCTTTATAACATTCACGCCTTTGATGCAGATATTATTATTGTAAAAAGAAAATGATTGATATGAAATATCTGAACAAAGTATGTAAGATGGAATACATAAAAACTGGTTGGATGTTTCAATTTTCATTTTTTTTTTCTTTTTTTTTTTTTTTTTCATAGCAATCTACATATATTAATTTTTTTTGTAGCAACCACACACTCCTGTTTTTTTTTTAAAAATTTTATACACAGGTACTATTCTTCATTCTCCCCAACGACAACAACTCGCTAGATTAAATGTTGAATTCTTTATCTTGATATTGTTATTTATTACACTGATTTTCATTTATACCATTAATCAGAAAATTTTTAATGCTTTTCTTTTTTTTTTTTTTTAAATTATGAACCATTCTTTTAGTTATCAGATATTTTAATTAAGAAATTAAAATAGATTATTTGTTTTGCTTTACAGGTATCAGACCCTTTGCTGCAGACAGCAAGAGGCAAATTACAGACAAGAAGATCTAAACTGAATGATGAAATTAATAAGGAATTACGTCTTCGAGCAGGAGCAGAAAATCTGTTTAGGTAAGAGACTATTTCATTTAAAAAAATATTTAGTTTTGTTTCACTAAGATTTAAATTCGGTGTAAAGAATTTAAGGTTGTTACAAATATCTGAACCTGAAATTCATCCTTAATATTGAGAATAATAAATAAATTTTTATTAGGTGTTTAAAATATATATATATATATATATATATATATATATATATATATATGAGAGAGAGTTTTAAGTAGGCTATATTTGTGGGTAAAAGTGCACAATATCTGGAATAGAGCATATGTAAATATAAATTTATAATATACAAAACACACATGACTCTCCACAACTCACTTTTTCTGCTCTAATTAATTTTAAACCTATTGTTAGACATTTTCATGACGGTCGATCCTCGAGTATCGCCTCCAGAGGTTGGCAGTGAATATTTCGAGACAGTAGGAAAACGTAGTGAAGGTTCGCAGGGATATCACAGCAGAGTGTAGTTCATCCTTCTCCTGGTCGCCTTTTTGTCCTTCTGGTAGGAGGAAACAAGATGGCCGCCTTTATACACTCTACGAATACAGTGTTGGGCGGCTTCTGATTGGTCAACCTTCTACTGGTCGACTATAAAGGGAAATAAGTCATTCTGACTCGCTCACTAGTTACACTCATATGTACCCAAAAAACCGTAACATGCCCCCCCCTATTTTGGGTATATAATGGAATCTTCGTTCAAAATATTAGTAAGGTTAATAAATACTTTAATTCCAAAAAATTATTTGTTTTGTTTTTTTTTTTGTTTTTTTGTTTTTTGGCAATTAATATTAATACGTCAGAAATAGTTTAGTATTCTAGATTTTATTTCTTAAGGAAAATTAGTATCACCAATATTAGTCATATCACTTTATCCACAGTTAAATACTTCTCGGGTTAATAAAACACGAGTAATCAATATTATAAGTTCAGACCGCGATCACAACAAAAAGTGGAAAGAATTATTACTTTATCCATAAATGGGACCCATTTAAAACAGTTACTATCACTCCGGGTCAGAGTGATCCAGAAAAATCATTTATTATTTTATCCATAGCTGGGACCCATTAAAACAGTTACTATCACTCCGGGTCAGAGTGATCCAGAAAATCATTTTAAAAAAAGTACAAAATTATTATTTTATCCATAACTAAGACCCATTAAAACAGTTACTATCACTCCGGGTCAGAGTGATCCAGAAAATCATTTAGAAAAAGTACAAAATTATTATTTTATCCATAACTAAGACCCATTAAAACAGTTACTATCACTCCAGGTCAGAGTGATCCAGGGAAACATTTAGAAGAGGATTGGGCTCAAGGTAGGACCATTTACCTTTATACCCCGAAACTAAGGACTTACATTCATACCAAAAACCGAACTGACGTTTCTTAGGACAGTAACTAATGGATGCAGTTTTACGTCCTAATAAGGACCTTACAGGGACTTAACGGATGCAGTTTCACATCCTGCTCAGGACCTTAATGGATGCAGTTTTATGTCCTGCCCAGGACCTTAATGGATGCAGTTTTACGTCTTGCCCAGGACCAGTGAGGACCTTATTGGTCAGTACCAAATATGGCAGAAGTGAAAGTCTGTAATTTGATTTTGGTAATTGGTTTTGTAAATAAATCTGCCATATTTTTTCCCGATTGAACATATTCAATTTGTACTATTTTCTTTTGTACTTGGTCCCTAACGAATTGATATTTTATATCAATATGCTTTGACCTTTGATGTATTATTGGATTTCTGGCCAAAGCAATACTGGCCTGATTATCGCAGTAAATAATTACTGGCTCAGTTATTACCAGTGTTTTAACGGTTTCTATTAGTAATTTGAGAAAAATGGCCTCTTGTGTTGCTTTTGATAATGCAATATATTCAGCTTCACAGGTAGAAAGTGAAATCATCCCCTGTTTCTTCGATTTCCAGCTGATCATTGGGTTACCATCAGCTAGCTTAAAACAGTAGCCAGTTATACTTTTTAACGATCTGGTGAGTTGGCCCAATCAGCATCACAAAATCCTTCCAATTTCAATGGTTTATCTGCTTGTCGAAATACTAGGCACCGACTCTTAGTCCCTTTTAGATAACGTAACACTTGTTTAGCTCTCGTTAATTGCACAGTTCCTGGTTTATTTAAATGTTGGGATAATTTCGTAACCATATAGCAGATATCTGGCCTGGTTGCCGTCATCAAGTAAATAAGACTTCCAACCAATGTTCTGTATTCATTTTCACACGCCGCTATACCATCTTCTTTATTCATAATTGCGTTTAAATCCATTTCACATGGAGTAGCTCTCATTTTGCAATTTTGCATGTTAAATTTAGATAAGAGTCTTTCAATGTATCTAGATTGATTCATTGTAATAGTGTTACTTTTAAATTCGAACTGTATACCAAGAAACCATGATAGTCGACCCAAATCGGTCATCTTAAACCTTATTTCCAGGGAAGTTTTGATTTTTAATAGGGCGGTCTCACACTTTGATGCAATTAACATATCGTCGACCCAAATAACCAGAATTACTAATGTTTCATTACTAAATGTTCTTGTGTAGAGACATGGGTCAACGCGAGGATTGGAATTGCTGTTCTATTAAAAATGGATTAGTTTATTCCATGTCCTGCCGCTCTGTTTCAGTCCATATAGTGACTTTTTAAGTTTCCATACATAATTATCGCCTTCTTTAAAAACCTTCTGGCGGTTCTACATATATCTCATAATCGATGGCAGCATTTAAATAAGCTGCTTTCACATCCATATGGTGTATATCCATACCATAATGTGCGGCCATTTGCATCAAAATTCTAATTGTTGTCATGTTTGTTGTTGGACTGAATGTTGCTACGTAATCTTCCCCGTATATCTAAAAAACCTTTAGCTACAAAAACGAGCCTTGTATAGTGGCGATCCATCCTCAGTACGCTTTACATTATAAACCCAACGGCTGCCAATAATATTTTTTATCATCCGGGGCCTTTTTTAATTCAAACGTGTCGTTTAATACTAATGATTGAATTTCTTTTTTCGCATGGCAGCCATCTACCGTCTAGCATTGATAGAATGTATGGCCTCTTGGTAATTCTTTGGGATACATTGCACCGAATAACAACAGTCAATATCGCAGGTATTACATTGGTCCATTCCAAAATAATCTGGCTTTCTTCTATCCCTTGTCGGGTAACGCGAATTTTCCCCCTCATCAGTTGTATTTTCCTTTAACTCAAGTTTTGCATCCGATTTTTCCTCGTCTACAACATCTGGTGTAATACCTTCCTCTGATTGTGGATTATGGACGGGTTTTCCACTCATAGACCCATAATTGGGCCATACTAGCTCGGGTTGCACCAGTTCGTCGCGGTTAACATTCGTAAATCTGACGCATCTAATCTTCCTTACTGTTCTAGTTTCTGGAAAATAAATCATATAGGCTGGACTTGTCTTGTCATACCCAATGAATATGCCCCTTTCACTTTTTGGATCTAGTTTCGCCCTGTGGTCAACATATGAATAGCAAATTGTACCAAAAATATGCATATCACTCACATTGGGCTTAAAATTTGTATAAGCTTCGTAAGGAGTTTTTTAATGTTACTATATAGCAGCGGTTTCTTATATATACCGCCGTGTTCAATGCATAAACCCAGAGATTTTGGGCAAGTTAGATTCTATTAACAAACATCTAGCCATTTCAAACAGTGTCCTCCAACTGCGCTCGGCAACTCCGTTTTGATGTGGTGAATAAGAACAAGTTTTCTCATGTTTAATGCCTTCATTTATCAGGAGGTTTTTGTAAGCATCAGAAGTAAATTCGCCACCATTATCGGTCTGAATTATTTTTTACCTTTCCATACGGGGAGATATCTGATAAATAGATTTTTGTAGCTCGCAGTGTGTCAGACTTATTTTTCAGGAAATATACCATAATAAGTCCTGAATATTCATCTACAAAGTTTAATACATATGAGTAGGTGTCAATACCCTTTGGGGTAATTGGACCCGCTAAATCGCAATAAACTCTGAACAAAATATCTGTTGCTTTTGGGATTCGACCCTCTCTCTATATTTCGTCATTTTACCCTTAATACACGTATCACAATATTGCAAGCCCTTTGGAAGTGTAATTTTCATTCCAGTGACGTGTTCTTGTAATTTTTTAACATCCGAATCATTACAGTGGCCCAATAAAACATTTACAAACATCTCCCTTAGTATTGCGTAGATAAATACAGGCATCACCTCTTTTCAAAACCAAATTATTAGCTCTGGTCCCATCAGCTAACTCGATAAAATGCGAGTCGGGCTGAAAATTGGGGTAAAAACTAATAAATTTTGTTTTATCTGTAATTACATGATTTGTCGCCCCGTATCGATCAAGTAAGAATCACAACTGCTGGCCACAGCACCCAATCCAAACGAAAAGGCATATGTACATCCCTTCGAAGAAGCTTGTACATTCTTACAATAGTTATTCGGGTATAAAATTGACATTTCGCATTTAGTATGGCCGACATTACCACAACGAAAACAAAACGATATCCTTACTATATCCGCCTTTATAATTCCTGTAATAATTGCCTCTAAAGCCCCTGTTCCTACTCTCATAGTTCCTAGTCTGATTGCTTTGAGGAACTGGTCTTCTGAGTTTTTTAAATGACGTTCTTAATTGCATGACGTTATTGCCGTGACTTTGGTGGGAACACATTTTTTCAGTTTCTTCATAGCTACGTAACGCCATTTTAAATTCAGTGAAAGTTAGTTGTTTATCTTTTTGGGTTATAACTGTCGTAAATGGCTTGAATGACGGTGGCAAACCCTTCAAGACCATGGCTATTAGCAGCCCATCTGAGATGGTTTCACCTGCAATTTTTAAAGCATTCGTAACGTTCTCCGCTCGAATAATGTAATCGGTTATAAATTCGTTTTCTCATCTTTTCAATGCGGTTAATTCCATATATAAGGAAATAATTTTAGGCTTACCTTTTGACAAATAGTGTTCACG